TTAATTCTAAAGCTGGATCCGCCCCTGGCCAGAACTAAAGTTTAAGCAGCAGGTTGCGTATTTATTCAGAGGCAGATTTAAGAACATAATTGGTTAATTCATCCTTTGAAGATGGTAATGATTTTGCTTTTGCTTGCATGAAGAGAAGTAGAGGAATGCAAAATATTTAGCAGAAAATCTATTTTTTCGCAGTAGATAAAGCAAATGGAGATGTAAAGACTGCAAAAAGTCCAATTGAGTAAACCAGTATTTAATTAATGAGAAATGTAAATAGATAAATAAAAGTCTAGCAGAGTCTGCATAAAATAATAACTTCAATAAAATTGTTTGCCGAAAAACCTCTGGAACGAGTATACATACAAAAATTATACTTCAATCAGCAAATTTAAGATTATTAATTAAGTGAAAAATTAAATGAGGGCTTCGAGCTATTTAAATGTTTTAACTGAATTATTCGTGATCTTACATAATACGTTTTTCGTTCTCCAAAAGTCGACTTAAGAAACGTATTATATCTCAATAAAGTGACAGCACAGATTCTATAAGTCTATGAAAATGATATTCTAGACGGCAAATGAATTGAACAAAATTAGCATTTTGCATTTGTAAATGAATGTAATGTAGAACTTAATTATTGGCCATTAAAAGTAGCAAATTATTCTTTTACTCAAAAGACATAAGAACACGAATAACGCTGCTGCTGCTCAATTTATATTAATTAAGTTTCGTATACGAGGAAGTTAAAGAACTCATAGATGCTTCTTGAAGTATAATTTTAAAAGCTGTTTTTCCTTTCGTCAAAACTTCCGACTCTATTTGACTAAAAAAAGTGTCAACAGTGCAATAAGAAGTACATTGTGGGTGGACTTACTTGAATCTGCCGGAGAAGGGGGGTTAATAGTGTCCGGACTCATACAGTCACTCGGACTAGGGGATCTTTCTCGTTTAGGAAGAGGGTGGGAGCCCGCAAGGGGCCCTAAAGCCGCGTGCGTTCCTAGTCCATCCATTGACACTCCATTTTCCGAAAGGAACTCATCGAGATCCACATACTGAAAAATTAAAAAGCAAAATAATTCCATTTGGAGTTCATTATTTATGTAAAAATACCTTCAGGTCTGTTTCATATGACTTATCCCATAAGTTGGGTCCCAAAAAGGCCGTCTGCGCCTCCACAGTGTTCCAGAGTTCGCCGTCGTCCTTTTTTTCGTCCCCAAGAATGGCTCCTGCCAGTTCTTTAATGGTGGAATGGCCATGGCCATTATGGTGTGAAGGCTTACTGTTACCTGCAAAAAAAATGCGATATTTAAGACCAGTTATCCATTAGAATTCCCTTCAGAGAGCGTTCGCGACATTCATCAAACGAATGATATAAATTAAGCAAAACAGTACCTGCAGTTATCCCTTGATTGGATTTTGCCATCTTGTTAAACATCTCCATATAATAGTTATAATACTTAAGGTATTCATGCGAGTACATGGTATTGGAATTATTAATGGCGAACATTTTTTTCAAACTATGATAAACTGATCATCACGCGTTCAAATTTGGAAGCGAAATGCCCAGAAGTGTACTGATTATACGGGGCAATCGCAACAGGTTGGCACGCACAGGAAAAATGTTGTTATTTCTAACAAATGGTTGTGCGAACAAGAAATTTCGGTTTAAAGCGAAGCGTCTCTGTCTAATATAAACAAATACAACAGGCTTTTTGAATTTGCTCAGTTGGAAAACCGGATTTTTATTTTTAAATCGTGCTTACTTATTGTTCGTATTAAATCAAATTGGTGCAATTATCTTCAGATATCTAGTTTCAATGAGCAAAAGGGCAATGCGTCATTACTCATAATTGTTCGGAAAATCCAGAATCTTTCTAGTAGAAATGCAACATTGGTTAAAGCAAATAAATGCATTTTTTAAAAACGCTCATTTGCCAATCAACACGTTTAAGAGAAATTTGGATTGATATTGAGCCATAAAACTATGCATACCATTTCAAAAATGCTATCAAAAAGGCACGTAGTCAACAATTTGTTAGCGACTGACACAAAATTATTGCAAAAATCGTTTCGTGCATAACGTCTATATTCCCACTTTTATTCCATTTAAACATGCATACTTACGAGCCTGAATTACTCAAAATAAGACACATCATTTGTGGTTTAGTCGTAAAATTAACGATTTCGGAGAAAAAAATTGCCAGTACAAAATAATTGACATATGATGGTAAATTGCAAAGTTACTCAACCTAGCCACTAATTGTGTGTAAAAAAACAAGCATCGTTTTTTTGCCTCTAAAAGTGCTAATTTTATGGAAGCTTCTAAGAAATCTTTTTGTTTCGAACTAATTTTTAAAGAAAATAGTATTATTAAAGAAAAAGTCACGAAAGAAGCAAAATTCAAGCAAGGAAATATAGTAAACTATTAATAAAAAACGACCACAAATATTTTAAGAAGGGTTATTCAAATCATTCTTCTGCCGATTTAAAATCACTCCACGAATGTTTAAATAAAATTGTTTACCGCATAGAAGTACAATTTTTTTAAAAATCTGCTATGTATATGTTGAAATATTTGAATAAAATGTATTAAAATACATAAACAACGTTTCCAAGGTTTACTAAATAATTCGTTATATGTTATAGTGGCGAACGAACAACTTTGGGCTTGAATATATAGGACGATTTCCTAGTAGATGGCAATGAAACGGTGCATTTAATAGCTAAGATGTACTTTAATTAGAAAATAAATTAAACTGAACAATCAGAATACATTAATTTCCGGTATTAATCAAGTTATAAAAGAATTAAACTTTTACAAAAGACATATAATCGCACGTGATGCTTTAAAAAAAGTAGATAATTGTGAAGAATAAGTACATAACTGGAATTAAGAACTTAACGATAGTTCGTCGTAATCTTTGAATTTTAAGAGTATTTTATTCTTTTAGCTGAATATTTGAATATTCAATATACAGTCTGCCGAAGTATCCGAGATCGTACCGAGAAGTATCTGAGTTTCTATTCCAACTTCCGACCGGTTGAATTGACCAGCAATTCAAACTCCATATTTATTTCATAAACTGTTAAGAATTCAGGAAAAGCGCACAACCAGTTTTGCCTAAAATTGTCATAAAATTCATCTCGAAGTATCTCGAATACCTGTATTAATGGATAGACACTGTATGGTAGATGGACTGTATGATACGACATGATATTTATGCAGAATAGGTATATAATATATACATCAATAATGTTGAAAAAAAAGATAAAATATTCACGTTAAACAATCTAAATACTTTCAATGCCTTTGAAGACAAACGCGTTGACATTTCCGTCCCATCCTACCTAAAACAAACCTTGGCAATTATCTGCAAGCTTCTTGTGATTTACTAAAGGCGTTTGACCCGGCTTCCCAATACGGAGGCAGTAAGAGCTCATATACAATTCAAATGCGAACACTAAAATTGATTACTGACATTGACTCACTCGACATATTTGCAGTTAATCTTGACTCTAATAAATAACTTGCAAGGTAATAGTTTAAATTAAATAAAGTTTTTCGCAAAACGCAAACGTCATGCATATATGCATTAAATCGCGCTGTGAAAAAATGTAAATATTTCCATGCGAACAAAAATCCATTAAATTTAAATAAAATGGTATAATTAATGCAACATTCGATTGCTCGGAAAAAGTGCGATAATTGTTATTAATTTACGTCTGTATCAAATTGCTGAAATACGATACAGAAAAAGTGTCATTGAGACCGCGATTTGCCATTTGAGAGGCTGATTTACGTCGGCTTGTCCATGACAATGGAAACACAGTTGCATTTATGTAAATTGTATTCGGATTATTATCGTTTTTGCTGTCGGGTTCATAGAAAACTGTCTTAAATTAACTATGTTTGAAAGCACATCTCATTACAAGCGAGTGATGTACAACATGTGTGTTGAACAAAATTTTAGAATATACAATTTTACATTCAAAAGTTGAATTTTTTAATGAAAAATTGTCCTCATCAGTTAGTGAACTAAAATTCTTATTACTCGCTGTCTAAGTGAACATTTCAGAATATATAAACCGAATAAAAAAGTTAATGTAACGTTTAATCAATAAGATGAGCAAATGGGCATATAACGTATAAACCAACAAACTAATGTATTTTTATGATGCGGAAAGAAGAATTAAAAGAGATAAATTTTGAAATTTTCTTAAACAGGCTTTTATTTTAGAACCAACATCTTAAATATTGTTTATACTGAAAGAATTAAACAAAATACAAAAAATACGTTGACTTAGGTAAGGTGCAGGCACATAACATGTTTAATTTAATCCTGTGTAATATCATCATTTCAGACGACAATCCTCATCGAGAAATTATTTAAGAAAAGAAGATTTAGAATAGAAAGTGATAATACATTTTTATTAACACAGAAATATTATCCAAAAACATTGACCAAAATTTTAGGCAAATTCGTCTGCACTGTTTTGATTTTCGATTCTTCAGTTCTTGCATGACATTAGGTGGGCAACAACTAGTTGATTTCCAAATGGCCCCATAAGAAAAGCCTAAGGAGTAAGATCTGGAAGCCTTGCTGTCCATTCTATTGCAGAGCCGCTGGTTCAACGGCTCTCTTAGTGAAAAAACGAATTAAACTGGAGCTTCATCTGGCAGCAAATTGAGACTTCCTTCATCAAGAAGGAAGGCTCAATATTCTTCCATGCGTTCTCCAATGATTGAATGATAAATTTTTGTATCAGATTTTCTAGAAGATGAACAAGCGGCAGTCACAGTGTTCATCACAAGTTTTCAGACGATTTTCTCCCGAAATGTTGGTCAATCTTCAAGGACTTCTTGGTCAATACATACTTTCCTAATACGAATAACAGCGGAGATTTCCTACGAAAGACGAAAGGCAATAAATTACCAGATATTTCGCCCATTAACATTTCTGTCGTAATATGTACTTTTATGTTTTAAATCCTGAATCGACCATCCAATGTTTCTCACTCGTAAATCATTGGATAAAGGATTTTATTCTGATTAAAACTATGTATATCACTCAGTGGGGGGCTGTTTGCTCAGTGGACATGTCATAGAAGTTCCTCTAGAACAATATGTTTAATTCCCAAAAGTTTCCGTTTGTTTTCAAATGAAAACCCTGTATATTTAAATAAGTCCATAATACTTAATGGTTGCTTGCTTCCTATTTGCTACTTTCTCTTCCTGTGCACAGAAGGTAATTCAAATTAGACTGGTACTGTGAAATTAGTGTTGGCATATCTGAGTTTCCCATATTTGCGGAATAATTATTATTGCTAAATGGTCCATTTTTCGGAGCAAAAACTCGGATTTTCCACCATCATCGATTTTAAATGAGGGCGGTATTTGGACTATGTTTTACAATAAAACCATTGAACAGTTGGTCGAAAGCTCTTTGTCCTTGGTCGAAAACTCTTGTCATGTTTTTGGCAAATAATATATGCCATCTGACCAATATCAGGCAAATTAAAAATTTAAGTCGTGTTCGTTTTTTTATTTCGTCAATATTCTTACGTAATCGAGCGCCTTATTTGTATGCAACAGCTGCCCAAAACTCCGGTTATTTTGTCGGCTGTTCTCTTCTTCTGCGATCACTAAGACAGATGAAGGAAAAAAACCACATGTCTAGTTGTAGGTCTACAAAAAGGCCTTGAAATTTAGCCCCAGCTGTAGCAGGAACAGTGGATTCATGTTTGCATATCGAATTAATCACCGGCAATTATTTGGTAACTGGCCTGTGCAAACTTAACATTCTTTAAAGCTCTAAAAGCGCTCTCGTGTTTGATGCAACCAATGGTAATTTGTGAGCATCGAACTGATTAATATTCCCGTTACTGACCAGAAACGAATGATTTCCAACGGCTTCTAATTAGAAGTAGTAGTTAACCTTTTCCAATAAACTTTTAAAAACTTATAAATTTTATTACCACTGGATGTAAAGGAGTGTGAAACGTGATTTTCGAATTAGAATAATTACTGCAAGTCCATACTCGATTAATAATGCGTTTTCAGTTATTAGCTATTAAAATGAATGGCTATTTATAAAACGAACATAAATAATTGGACACCAGTTTTTCAATCGGTCTATGATTATTTACCGGTAATTAACTGCCTTATACACACTAGGGCTTTGTGCAAATTATTATAGTTAATAGACTTAGCAATTTTTTAAACAGCATATCAGATCGGTCCTGAAAAATGGAAAACATGTGACTTAACTTTCATCTTTTCGGTATC